CAGAACTAACATGGAGGCCTGCCCTTGCTCTCTTTTTGTCTCCCTCAGATTCTTCTTTTGTTCTCATATCCTTGTTTAGAAGACCATTTGGGATGGGAAAAGTATGAACATATACGCAAAATGATGAGGTATTTTTCCTCATAGTCTGGAGACATTATAACATATATACATATACATATACATATATATGCTCTCCTGGATTTTTGGAAAAGATGCAAAAACACTGCCCACCAGTTTTCTATGTACCATGTGTGACATAGTGATACGGCCGTAGAAACCCAAGGAGGGTCGCTATGAGTCGGGTCCAACTCCAGGGCACATAACGACAAACAACAGCATGTGTGCTCTAGCTCTCAGAGCAATCATTTGCCCTCCTTCCACATTACTCATCTGAAATGCTCAGGGCCCACTGTAACTGTCAGTCATTTCTCCCAACTGAAATGTAACAGAGATTGTTTCTACTATTTATAGACAGTAAGCTATGGAGCCCTGGTGATACAGTAGTTAAAGCGCTCTGCTGCAAACTGCAAGGCCAGTAGCTCTAGTACACCAGCTGCTCCACAGAGAAAGATCTGGCAGTCTGATTCCATAGAGTTACAGCCTTGGAAACCTTTGGGACAGTTTTACTCTGTTCTGTAGGGTTAGTGCCTAAGGCCCTTGACTGTTAACCAGAAGGCTGGAAGTTCAAACCCACCAGCCACTCCTCAGAAGGAAGGTTGGGCAATCTACTTCTGTAGTGATACCACCTCAGAAACCCCAGGAGGGGTCGCTATGAGTCGGGTCGGACTCGAGGGCACATAACAACAACAACATAGGGTTGCTAGGAGTTGAAATTGACTCAGCGGCAATGGATTGTGTACCGTGTTTGGTTTAAACTGAGGTTGAAAGAAAAATTAACATCAGGATTGAATCCTAAAGAAGATTTTTTTTTTCTGTTTTTAAATCAAGCTGTGTTGCCCCGAAATTAAAATAAGAGTTACAGTCACTAAATAAAAAATTATTCATATGCAAAATTGTACTGTTTTAAATTCGCAATTGTCATAAATAGTCAATGCAGTACCTTTGTAGCTTAATGAATTTAGATTCTTAAAACCAAGTGTGTTGAAAGAATGGTTTGCACCTAGCTTTCTCTCGTGCATATAAATGTAATGCAAGCCTCTGTTTTTTAAGGAGCTTTATGTGGTTGAATTGGCATTGCTTAATAAGCAATTGAAAAAGTTAAGCATAACCTAGAAGTAAGTCATTTACAACTATGAGTCACTCTCCTGACAAGCCAATAAGGTAAGAGAACCTGGGTTGCAAAACAATAACTAGCCCAGCCTGAGGGACCCTGGAAATATATTACAGGTATCAGTTAGGAAAACAAAGCAGTAGTGTTTTACCATGCTGCAGAGAACAAGCTAAGGTTACTAACTAAACAAAATTACTTTACACTGACAATGCCAATTTTTACGTTTGTTTCAGAACAAGGGACGCTCAAACCACCTGAGGTAAGATTAACATTTTACATTTTTTATAGTTAAAATATAAGCTTTCACATTTCAAGCTGCTTGCTAATTTCAGTAGGCCTTAGTTTTTAGAATGTTAAATGTTCCTTTTTTAATGGAAAGAATAGAGGTAGAGTGAGCAAGTAAGTGCTTGGGAATAAATTGCATAAGTTAAATCACAGGAATTTTTATAGTCACTGTCAGAAAATCTTAGGTAGAGAAAAAAAATGTGAACATGTAATCTAAGACTGTGAAATGGGGACACTTCAGAATCTGAAGTACTTATGCATTCAGATAAATTTCAAACTGCTATTGTAGCAATGCTGTGGCATTAAGATGAGGATATATTTTCCTGGTACTCTGCTATGGAATACCACAAAACCCTGAGGTTTATAAAGTTTAATGCATTCAAGGCATTCCCTTGGCATGAATAGCAATAATCCTGGTAGTACAGAAGGAAGGGTGGCCCTTAGCTCAAGGAGTTGGTAGATGTGTCCCCTGTCATGAAATAGCATATTGCTGCTCAACCTTTGCCAATACTGCAAAGTTCTAACATTATTCAAGGAGGTGGGTTCCTGTTTCTAGTAGTTTTCCACTTGAGCACAAACATCATTATCACATCTTCTTGATCAAATCAACATCTGATAACATTCCCCTTTGGTTTAACATAAAATCTAACTCCTAATGGCTTAAGGGTATGTGATTTTTATCACATCTCAGAATAAAGTTGTTTGAAAAAAGAGCAGAAAAGAATAAAAAAATATGGCAGATTCCAGATAAACTTTACCTTGGCCTTCAATCAAAAGACATTTTTCACCTGATCCCCAAAGTAGTGTGTATTGACAAAACAACAACAACAACAAAACTGACCATAGCAGGGATAATCAAAATGTAAAATGTGTGTGATTACTTATTTAACCCAAAAGTATAGGAATCTGAGGACTTCTGAATAAAAGACAGGCAAAAAAAGTTCTGTATCGAAGTTATTTTAACATGTAACAATTAGGTCTCTTTAAAGGTAATGTAATAGTAGTATGTTTTAAATAAGATAGCACTTATATAGTTGATAACAATGAAATGTACAGCAAGATGTCATATAAGAGACATTTGTTTCTACTTTTTTTGCATACAGACTTGTAGGGGTAGCATAACTACAATATGAGGAAGCTCATATTATAAGCACTTACCTGGTGTATCACTTCAGCTTTTAGAATCTAGAACCTAGATCAAGGAATGCATGATAAAACAATATAATTATATTCAAAAACAGGCCACACGATTTCTTTTTGGGGTAAAAGAAATTAACCTAAAATTGTTTTCAGTGTTTAGTCGACAAGTAAGATTTTCCACAAGTGCTATAAGGGTTTCTTCCAACAGTGCCAGTGATGATCTTGGAAAGCAGCCTTCATTCTCTTACTCTATCACACTTATTAGAGTATTGAGACAGATTTCCTTGTGGAGCTCTGAACTTTAACTCAGTGTTACTTAACATTTATCCTATTAGATACATATTATAAAGCAAATGGTTTCACTTTATTTTAATTAAGTAATGTGAAGTGGGTGTATTTACAGAGCGAAAGTGTGCTAATAAGAAGTGGTTAATAATTTTCACATGATATTAAATAATTCTCTTAGGCACTTTTATATTCTACTTCTAAAAATTACACATAAGCCTATTATGAAATGAATTAATTTTCACATTGATTTTTTTTTTTCAGTGTAGCATCATGTTTTAGTGACTTGCTTAATTTTTGAATATAATAAGTAAAAATTTTAATTAATAAATAATCCCTGTCTGGATGGATAATTACAAAAAGTAAGCTTTTATACTGGCCTCACCATTTGGAAATCTTTGCTGTTATTTGAGGAGATATGTAGCAAAAGGACATTAAGAAGCAACTTTTTTCCTCCTAAGAGCTTCCCTAGACAGTGTGTAGAAGGTGTCACCTTCTGAGGAAGATGCTTGTATGATGCCCAGAAGTCTTCCCAGAAGTAACTGGTGAAGTCTTTTTTAAGCTCTTTGATTTTTGTGTTTTCCCCTCCTTTGAGAACCTTCTTTCTTTCCAGATATGGGTTATGAAAACCCTGTGTGGTAAGCAATTAAGTGCTGTGGTACTAACTGATAGATTGGTGGTTCAAGACCACTTGAGGTGCCTCGGGAGACAGGCCCTGTGATCTGTTTCCTGAAGATCATGGCTATGAACACCCATGGAACACAGTTCTACTCTGTAACACATGAGGTCCCCATGACTTAGAATTGAAATCGACTTGATTTTTTGGGATTTATTTTCTATCCTGTTTCCCTTTAATTTGCATGTTTGTGAA